ACTTATGTTTTTTTCTTTTGGTCCAAATAAGGGAAATAAAATATGCTTAAAGAAACAAATTAATTTATTCTGAATCTATTCTTCTAAGATGTACATCTTTTTCAGTAATATTTTAAAGTTCCACTTTTCTGAAACATTCATTCTTGCCTTTCTTTCTTGATAATATTTTCTTGTGATAATCTACTGAGGATGAATTGCTTAGCATAGATATTAAAAGTATGTCTTTCCTGCAGTTTTCTTTATTCATCTCCCTAGAGCAGTGTTTTCAATGAATTTTCTTCCCAGAATAAATTTGGCAATGTCTCTTTTGATTATTATACTTTGGAAAGGGCAGGTACAGGTGTCTTATGAGTTGTGGCCAACAATGTTTCCACACAACCTACAATGCATGGTAAATCCCTCTACAACAAAGAATGCTCTGACCCAAATATTAATGGTGTCAAGGCTGAAAAACATTTATCTAAGGCCATCATGTAACCAAATTCATGGTAAATAAGGATAAAGCAGAACATTTTACTTTTTTCCAAGTTTACAATTCAGGCTACTAAAGATAATTGAGTATCTGATTATGCTCTGGTTTCTCAGTGGTTAAGCAATGGGCTGTTTACCAAGAGGCTGCGAGTTCAAACCCACCCAGTGGCTCCACTGAAGAAAGACTGGCAAACTGCTTCCATAATGGTTATAGCTAACAAAACAAAACAAAACAAACACAAAACCTATGGAATAGTTCTACTCTGGCACATGAGATCACTATGAATCTCAATGGACTGAGTTTATTAGGAGCTCTGGTAGCGTAGTGCCTAAGGCACTTGACTGCTAACCAGAAGGCTGACAGTTCAAACCCACCAGCCACTCCTCAGAAGGAAGATGGGCAATCTACTTTCGCAGTGACACTGCCTTGGAAACCCAAGGAGGGGTCGCTATGAGTTGGGTCCAACTCAACAGCACAACCACAACAATAAACAAGTATGTTTATTTATAATTTCCCCAGAAGAAATATGCCAAAACTTTTCAAGCTCAAGTCAATATTTGAGCTTTATCTCTATTTCTGTTTTTTTTTTTTTGTTTATTTGTTTGTTTTTTAATTAATTTCAAATTACCTCCATCAAAGGATTTATCTGAGTATTAAGTAATTAAATTAGATCAAATCTGCTATCTGGCACATAGCAGACATTCAATAATTTTAAGTGCTCCTCTGTCTTTCCTAAGGATCTCTCGTGGCACAGTACCTAAAATATTTGACTGCTAACCAGAAAGTTATGGGTTCAAACCCATCAGACTCTCCATGGAAGAAGATGAGGCAATCTACTTCTGTAAAGGCTTGCTATGAGTCAGAATTGACTTTACGGCAGTGGGTCTTTTTCTTTCCTAGTCAAGCTTATTCTCTTCAGATGTCCTATTGAATGTATTTACTTTATGTTATATTGTTTTGACATTTTATTTTGAGGACATGTCATCTTTTCCATAAGCACTTTAAAAGCACGGATTACTTTTTATATTTATTTGCATTAGCTTTTTTTTTTTTTTTCTTACACTCCAGCATCAGTAGTACTGAGTAAACAGTGCTTGATTAAATGAGTGAAGAAAGGGAAATATGAAAGAATGCATGAGGACCAATATTTTGATACCTATACTGCCTAAGGCATTTATTTCAATGCCAATCAGAAGGCTGACAGTTCAAACCCACCAGCCACTCGTCTGAAGGACAATTGGGCCATCTACTTCTGTAGAAATACTGCCTCGGAAACCAAAGGAGGGGCTGCTATGCGTCAGATCGGACTGGAGGGCAGTGCATTGGATTGTTGTTGTAGTTCCCCTGTAGTGACAGTGCTGATTCATGACTTTTTTTTTAGTGTACATTTTTAAAATTCTAAGAGATTTAAATACTTTGAAGTTTTAAAACATAATATTTGTATTTAATGTAATTTTCTTTTAGCTCTATTTTGGAGGAATGAGAGGATATGTATATGCTTCGCAGAAGATTGGTAGTTCAAACCCACCAGCTGCTCTAAGGTGGAGGGAAATAAATAAGGCAATCTATTTCCATAAAGATTTATAGCCTTGGAAACCCAATGGTCGCAATGATTAGGAATTGACTCCATGGCAGTGAGTTGGGTATATACATAGAGAGAGAGAGAAAGGTTTTTCTTTTCCCCAAAATATATAGTGTCAATGTTTTAGATGTTCATTTTTTTTCCTTACTTATATCATACCTTTCAAAGCTTGTCTTAATCAACTACCAAAAACAAACAAACAAACAAAAGAATGAATTTATGTCTTTACACTTTAATAAAGAAATATAATTTGTTAGTTATAACTGTCTTTGGGTACTTTATTAATTTCAAGGAAAGAGCAAGAATTTTGAATATAAATAATGGAAAAAGAACCAAAATGCCTTGGTATTTTGAGGAATTTTAAAGTGTCTCCTTTTCGTCCTTACAGAAAGCGTGGACTATGGGCCAGTGTTTGTACAAGAACCAGATGATATCATTTTCCCAACTGATTCTGATGAAAAAAAAGTAGCTCTTAATTGTGAAGTTCGTGGTAATCCAGTTCCTAGTTACAGGTAAAAATTCATTATTAATAATTTTTCTTAAGCCTTAAAAAATCCCCTTGAATATGATTCTGACACCCCCAGGGAGAATTATAATGCCTTAAGTAATATTTACATATTTATCTTCTGATTTTTCCTAAGATGGCTTCGAAATGGAACAGAAATAGACATAGAAAGTGATTATCGCTACAGTTTGATAGACGGCGCCTTCATTATAAGCAATCCCAGTGAAGCAAAGGATTCTGGTCATTATCAATGTTTAGCAGCCAACACTTTTGGAAGTATTCTGAGTAGAGAAGCCATACTTCAGTTTGCCTGTGAGTAAACTATATGTTTTTTTCCATATATAGAACAAATGGTATATATATATATATATATATATATATCTACAAGTTATACATATTTTAATGTTTAGTTAAGCTAAAGGTTAAGACCTCAAATTTGATAACAATGGTAATACTTTGTTAAGGATTACAGCTATGTAAACAATGACCTTACTCCTGAAATATTTTGAAATTCCTTTAAATGTTTGCTGTCTTCTAAATAATCTGATGTACTAATGTGAGAAGTTAAAATTCATGAAAGCAGATAAAGTTTTAGATTTTAAATATCCTTAGAAATCTAGTGAAAAGAGATACAGATTTTCTGATTCTCTTTTTTTTTTAATATAAGCTTTCATTTTTCAACTATTTACTACAGTCAGTATTTGATACAAAATCTTCAAGACATAAAATATCATACACATTCTAAAAAGGTTACTACTAGTTTGGCAATCAAAGAGAAAAAGATAATCTTAAATTATTTCACTTACCATGAGGGCTTACACCAAATTTTGGATAGGCTACTCTGATAACAAACAAACAAACAAAAAATCTTTAGCATTATTTATTAGTAAGTTTTCCTACATAAAAATTAGATTTCTGAAGATTATAATCTCTAAAATTTAGATGGGAGAGCCAGGAATCTTTATGTTAGTAATTCATATGTAACTTTATTGGCTGCATAATTTATCATAAAGTGATTTTTAAGTTAAATATACCCTGAAGAATGCAATAATTGATTTTTCTCTATATAATCTCCCTCAAATACCCATTCTATTTAACTCTGAATCCAGACACTCCATTATAAAGGAAGAAAAGGAAAGAATGCAGTAATTATGAATATAGTTTGGAGAACACTGAACTACTTCCTGGAAATTTATAAATATTATTTTAAAAGTAGATTTGGCTAAGAAAATCATAAATGCACATTTACATACTTTAAATATGCCATGATTAAACTAAATAAGCTACTTTTATTTCAGAAAATATTATATGATATAACACATAATCAAATACCTTTTAGTACACATATTAATAAATATGAAAAAGTAAATCACCCTCCTAATCACCTCACTGTTTATTACAGCAATCTTTTCCAAAACAAATACAGCAAACGTAGAGAATGTGATAAATAAATATTAGTGACTTATACCTTACACTATGTTCTATACAACCTGACTCAATGACACAAATTCATGATTGTTTGTCGCCCAAATAATCAATGACAGCAAATTATGCCAAGTGTTTTTATGCACATATCAGAGCAGAATTTTATGTATTGGAAAAGGCCATATATCTGTAGGTCTGTACCTGCTGCAAGATTTCTGAAAAGATGAAGCACAGACATGAGAACTCTTCCCCATTCAGACTAAACACATGTGTGCCAACATTTACAGTTCAATGACCAGGCATGGAAAATACAGCATGATCTGTCCAACTCAAGCTGTCCTAAATGTGGTTTAGAGTTATGTTTGCTTGATTTTTAAGTTAAACATTTTTGGTAAGCATACATACACATTTATCCGTAATATCTTATGAGTATGCCTCTTCCCACACCTACCCCACATGGCTCAGTACTATGTTCTGGAGGCCATAGTGCAGATATGCATAAGAACTCATGGGTTGTAGCAGAAGGTCATTCCCTTAACAAATTTTCTGCTTGAAAATCACTCCCACCTCTCTAGTAGCATAGTGGATAAAGCATTTGGCTACTAACCACAAGGTTGGTGGCTCAAACTCACCAGTTACTAGAGGAAGATGAAGTAATCTACTTCTGCAAGGATGTACAGCTAAACCAAATGGGGGCTGCTATGAGTCAAAATCAATTTGATGGCAGTGGGTGTAGATGCTATTAAGAATTAATGGTTAAGAGCTCAATTACTAACTGAAAAACTGTTACATTCCCATTGGCAGCTGTTTGGGAGAAGAAACCTGATAATTTCCACCTATGAAGATTTAAACCAAACTCATTGCTGCTGAATCCATTCCAACTCATAGTGACCCTGTAGGACAGTGTAGAACTGTCCCGTGGGATTTCTGAGGATCACATCTTCACAAAAACAGACTGCTACATCTTTCTCCCTCGAGCAGCTGTTGGTTTAGAAAACTGACCTTTCAGTACCAGCTGAGCCCTTAATCACCGCACCACCAGGGCTCCTTCCCATGAAGATTATACCCCAGGAAACTCTATGGGACAGTTCTACTTTGCCATATAGGGTTGCTATGAGTAGGAATCAACCCAATAACATACAACAACAGATTTCATTATGTCCATATTTATAGTATAAAAATACAAATCTTTCAGGTTTAGCATTCCTTTTTTCCAGCTGATCTTTGGAAGGGAAAATGCAAATATAGATGGTATAAAGAAAGGGTAGAACTCGATGACTTGTTTTACATGCTAGAGAGCATGTATATTAACAGATTTGGGTAGTCAGGGTAGGTTTGGGGTTGTTATTATTATGTGCTGTCGGATCAGACTCTTTGCGACCCCTTCTTGGGTTTCCGAGGAGGTATCACTGCATAAATAGTTTGCCCAACCTTCCTTCCAAGGAGTGGCTGGTGGCCTTAGGCACTGTGCTACCAGAGATCACAGATTTGGGTTTAGGAGATGAAAACAAGATAGAAGTAGGGGCAAAAAAGAAAAAAAGGTTTCTGAAAGGAAATGAAAAAATACAAGGGTAAAGTGAGATTTGAAAATTGATAACAATATTTCTTTTACATTATTTATTTATTTTTATTTCCAGCCTCATAGACAGATGAAAAATAAGCTCAGTATTAATTGTTAGAATGTCGAATAACTGATGGGATTTTTAACATCGAGAGAAACTTTCACTTATCTTCACACATTTTGAAGCTGAAATAATTACTTGTATTTACTAGCTACTATTTATATCGACGGCACACAAAAACAAACAACAACAAATTTATCTAAATAGGAGCTCTGGTAGCATAGTGCCTAAGGCACTTGACTGCTAACCAGAAGGCTGGCGGTTCAAACCCACCAGCCACTCCTCGGAAGAAAGGTTGGGCAATCCTACTTCCGTAGTGATACTGCCTCGGAAACCCAAGGAGGGGTCGCTATGAGTCGGGGCCGACTCGATGGCAAATAACAACAACAGCAACAACATTTATCTAAATATTTATTCCTTATATAACATTTATTTCAAAGTTGATATACTTAATACATTTTAATAGTGATTGTAGTTGTCATTGTTAATTGTTAGCTGTCATCAAGTAAATTCCATGTGTGCAGAGTACAATTGCTCCATGGGATTTTCAAAGATGTGACCTCTCAGAAGCACATTGCCAGGGCTTCCAAGGTGTCTCTGGTGGATTCAGACAAGTAGTCAAGAACTTAACTGTTTGTACCATCTAAGGACTCCTTTAATCAAAATTTGCCAAACATTTCTTTAATATCCCAGTAAAATATGTTAGTCTCTTAAATGTTTTAAATGCCTTAAAATTATTTTAAAAAATCCAAATTATTAAAATGATAAAACTACTTTTATTTATTTATTTTTCACTTTAATGGAATTTACTTAGATCTCTGAATACAAAAATGATATATGTTTGTTTGGGAGAAAACATAAAATGTATAAAATATGGAAGGATATCTTCCCCTCTCCAAATCCCATTTTTCCAAAGTAATCATATTAGAATTCTAGGGTGTTATTTTAGATTTTTCCTATATGCTCAAGTACATATCCATATATATCATATTTTAATTCATCATATATTATAGAGTAACTTTATTATTTACTTTTTTCTGCACCTTACTAGTGCTATCTTAATCTAAAATCTAATAAAATGGAGGGCCATTCAACCCAATCCAAAGTCAGTTTCTAATTTATCAACCCAATTAATTCTTGTTGCTCCTTGTTTAACAGACCTATTTAACTGACTAACCCACTCCCCATTCCCATCTAACTCATAATGGCCTTATAGGATAGAATAGAACAGCCCTGTGGTTTCCAAGGCTGTATATAATCTTTAAAGAAGGGAACGGTCACATCTTTCTCCCACAGAGTGGCTGAGGGGTTCAAACACAACCTTTCAATTAACAGCTAGCTCTTAAACACTGTACAACCACGATTCCTTGTTTAACAGGCTAAGCCTCTTATTAAAACAGCAAACAAAAAAATAATAATTTGGTATATTTGGCTACAACTCAGGACTATGTCGTGTATATCAGAATAGAATTGTGCTCCATACTGTTTTTTAATGGCTGATAGACTGGGAGTAGAGAGTCAGGCCAGTCTTCTGCAGTACCTCTGTGTGAACTTGAACTTTCAGTCTTTCAGTTGGCACCTGAGCTTGTTAACTGTTTGCACCACCCAGGAAGTTGGATCTCTAAAAGTTTCAATGATATAACAAAAATGAAGTTCAATTTTAAAAGAGACCCTTAGTCCCTGAGGGATGCAAATACAAACAATTGAACTTTGTTTATGTTTTATTATTGACACTTTTAAAATACTTTTTACATAGGCTTTTGAAATTTTGAATATAATATCTTTGCTTGAAATAATGTGATTATAAGACTCCCTGATCGGTGTTACATAGTCATCAGATAGGTATCTATATTCAAACAAAAAAAGGGCTGTTATCTTATAAATAGGTATGTGTTTAAATGAACAATAAAGTTACACATATACCGACAGTTCTATATTATTAAGTTTAATACGATTTAATTATATCCTTTCAGATTTACTTTTCTGTGGCATGAAAATTGCACATACATATAATTAATAATAAACTTTCTGGGTTTGAGTATCTTTAGAGTCCCATTATTTTTTAAAGATTCAACTTATTCACATACATATATAAATTGTTATAATTTTGCTACTGGGACACCCTTAATGGTAGATTCTTTGCTTTCTTTTTATTAAACCAGAAGTATATTTTAAAACGTTCAAGCTAGTCACTGGCAGCATCTTGATTCACCTTCCCTATCTACTTTGATTCAATAAGCTTGCATTAACCATGATGTTATGGAT